CAGAGGTTTTACTTTTCCCTTTACTTTGAAAGCACTAACACTGTCACATCCTGCGAAAGGGTGAATGCCAATGAGTGCTTTTGAAGTTGTATTTCCTGGTGTCTTGCTGATTTCCCGAACATCTATTGATCTTGTGTTGTTTCCAAGTGAAAGAAATAATATCAATCAGCATCTCAAGATGGTGGAAGCCCATGTAGCAAGCACAACATTTGTGTCTACTGTCCGAATAATGATATCGGTTTCTGGAGGACTGGACTGAGAGACATGGCAAGCATGCAAGAAGATCCTGGTATCTGCTTCTTCCTGGTTTGACTGATCATGAAGGTCTGCAATATCTTCAAAATGAAAGTGTGTCCTCAGTTCGGTACAGCTTATAGCATCTGGCTCCATAAGTGGCATACATCTCTATGTCAGAAAACATTTGAGCCTGGTAACCTTTCCATTCATCCACAACAAACTTGAGCAATCCCTCTTTGTTGCTGCCACAAGCAAGACATTTCTTCATTTGTATTGGCATCTTTTGTTCAGATCTGTTTATGTATATTCAAGTTTCACCATGTGCTGATCGATCGTGTCTCTCATACCCTTTTGTTGAAATATCAGGATATCTGTTTCGATCAGAGTCAACCCTTTTAGCACACTTCTTTGCCAGAGAAACTATCTGTTGTAGTAAGGCACCTAATATACTAGAACAGATAGAAACTATCTGTTGTAGTAAGGCACCTAATATACTAGAATAGAAATAGGCCCATCTCAGCTGTGTTGACATTTAAATAATTTGTAAACCAGTATATTTTTCAACTATATGATGTGTTCAATATAGAATGTTCTAATATACTAGAACAGATAGAAACTGTCTGTTGTAGTAAGGAAAGTGCAAACCCACCAAAAGTTTAATATACTCTTGATAAGTATTCAGAAACTTGCCCACAGCACCAGTCTGGATTGCCATCAAGACCCTTGTTTCAAAGTCAACCTGTACATTCTGCATAATCATCAGTGCTTCTGGATATTTCGTCTCTGATAGCTGACCAATGTAGTCCTGCATTTTTAGACATTGCAGAGCCTCACAGATGAGTTTGTTGGTGCAAAGACTCCGGTTGTAGTGATGACCACTAAGAACACCTGCAATGGATCCTTCTGCCACAACACCTGCCACAATACCTGCCACAATACCTGACTCAATTACGATATCCATCAATCCTGCATCTTTGAAACGCTTTCCAACAGCACCTAGGAATGCCATGGCTGTGTACAATTCGCCAAGCCTTAGGATAATCTGATCTCTGAACTCTGTTGGACCTTGCCATCGTATCTCCTGGGCTTTGGCATAAATAGCTTGATCCATGACAAGAACAATTGATGGAAGGTTCAAGGCACTGGCAATATCTAGACCCTTCTCAAGAATTGCATAAACTGTTGATTTGTCAGTTGGACTTGCATCAATTATGGGCAAATAACCAATTTTGGTGATGGGATGTGAATCCTTGTGCAGCACTTGGTTCCAACCAGTCCACACTGACAGTAATGCATCTGTCTGAAACCTAAATACATATTCAAATAAACTGCCTAACACAGAGTCATACTAGCAATGAGAAGATTTATAATTATGTTCTTATAAGCATTCACTGAAAGAATTATCTTTTAAAAAGTTCATACATTTCTTTTATAAAATTAACGTGTAGAGTAACAAACAGAAAAAAATGTTTTTGAATACTAACCTGGCAGAACTTGGCAAAGATATAAGCTCTGTCACTCACAATGGACTCATTTTGTACATCAGATTTCCTGTTGAGTTCCAGATTCTCCCCTGAAATGATTATTTGTACCTACAATGATTTATGATCTTTTTAAAAATTAAATCGAGTAATTGTACATTGTAGACAAATTAAATGACATTCTTAGCAAAACCGCTATAGAAATTTCATTTTTAAAATAAATATATAGTTACATACTTGAAAACAGAACAATTTCTAAGTTGTATAATACATTGCTTGTAGACAAGTCATGTTATATACTGCATAAAATATCAGAACTGAATGATAAAATTATGACACTGAACCTTGAAACTGAATTGGTCCTCTTCGTTTCTGACCCTGATAATGGAGGATGCCAGGTGCTGGAGCATCGATGGTGCGCTTTCTATCTCTGCTCACTGGTTCAAATTGCTCTGGTTCTAGTTGGATATTGGAGACACGCTGGATGATAATTCCATTGGTGTTGTGTGTTGTTCCCTTTCCTATTTAAATATTTAAATGAGTGAATGCACATTAAATGAAACAGCGAGAACAAGTGGGGTTGGTCTGTGTTAACGCTCACAACGTACTGCACGTGCATTGTTTCACTGTTCCAACTACTGCGCTTACCCCCTTGTAATACAAACCAATAATAACGATTTGAAACTATGATCGTTTGTTAAACAACTTTTATCCTAAGATGAATAAAATTCTAAGATTTAAATGTTCAATTGGCAAGGTAAAATTATGAGGATTCGCAATCTTAATATCACTTTATTTGATTTACTTTTTTGTTAAAAGTGAAATTTATCGGTACGTTTTCACAGCAAACAGACTATAGTGATGAGTGCTTTTGCAAACTAAAACTTGCACTCCTTGAAATTTAATGCCTGAAGAATGCTGAATTCTAGAATCTCATTGCTCAGCCGTGAATGCTTGTAATATATCTAGTCAATGTGATATTTGTGAAGTCATTTTGTGATATTGTCAAGTTATGTTAGCTTAATGTCGTTGACTTAATGGAATTAACAAGATTGTTTATTTTGTTCATAATGTTTGAGTTGTTGAACTTGGCAGTGATCTCACTTTTGAAGTTTTCAGATTTCATCTTCTTGTGGAAGTTTTCTGTTGTGATGACTGAAATTCACAGAATAAAAATAATTGTAACGCCGTCGGTTCCAAATGAATTCCCGTGCTTCAAATTCTCAATAACACCCGGAAATTGGCCGACACATGACGTTTATCTCCTAAGTCTAAAACACTTTTGTATTTTTCATACTTATTTATTATAGTAATGATATTACTTCATGGTCCAATTCGTTCAAAATCATTAAACAAGACAATCGTCATTAGTTAGTAGTTACTGCAGCACGGTATATCGTGGTAAATACCGTGGTACTTGAACAAAAACCATGGTATACCGTGGAACTGAAATTTTCGTGGTACCCAATCCTACTTGAATAGCACTTCTAACAATGATGGCAGCTCTGTATAAATCAGCAAAGTCGTCCTGTTTTGAATGGTGGGTGAATGAATGACCGTATGGAGGTTCACTTTCTTCTTCTGAGTCAGAGTACGAGTCAGTACCATCATCATCTGCTGTCATGGTAATGAAAGATGCAGACTTGGCAGCATCTGCAGAATGGTAGAACACTAATTCACAACATCTTGACTCAGGCTGAATAAATTCAAAATCAGAATATTTCTTCTGTAACCTGTCTTTCAACTGATATCTAGTCCTTCTACCTCCTTCACAGTTTCAATAAACAGTTTGGTTAGATTATTTATCTAAGAAAGTGTAATCCCAAATATAACGTATGTTATATTACTGCTCCATTCTTTAATCTGCTATTGGTGACTGATAAACTGAGAATGATTGACATTGTTGTGAGGAAGCTTGTGAGTGATGAACTAGTGAGTGAATGAATTTGGTTTTACGCCGCTTTTAGCAATATTCCAGCAATATCACGGCGGGGACACCAGAAATGGGCTTCACACATTGTACCCATGTGGGGAATCGAACCCGGGTCTTCGGCGTGACGAGCGAACGCTTTAACCACTAGGCTACCCCACTGCCCGAGTGATGAACTAACAATGATTGACACTGAGTGTGATAAAGTGTATAAATGAAATTTCATTTGTAATAACTTTTAAATATTATTGACATACAGACAATAATCTACACCAATATTTGATTACACGTGTCATATAATTAAGCTGCAGGGGCAATCCGCCACATTCACCCAGGGCCATGGAATTACAAGATGACCCATTTATTTTAGCTACTTGTGCATAATTGTTCTCTGGACCAAACAAGTTTTGGTATAAATATAAGTATAGAATAGACTCCGAAGACGCGTCAATAGTTGACCACGAAGTTTAGTCCGAGGCCGTTAGGCCGAGGACTTAACTACTATTGACGCGTCTGAGGAGTCTATTCTACTTAAACCTAAATTCGTAACCGGTTTCGCCATTCGGAATATCGCAACTGGTTTCAGTATAATAAGCGCCGTAAAAGCACGTGCATATTGCTTCACGCTTCGAACTATTGACGTGTAAATTCCTATTGACGCTATATAAAACTCACAAACCATACTTTTCATCCATACGCACGAGTGACTGCACGGTGAAAGGTACGAAGGTAGCAATGACTGATGATAGTGATGATAACTTATTTTTGACGCAGAGCAGGTTTTCGCAAAATGCATTTACGGAAAGTGACATTAACTCAGACTTTGAACATCTTCTTGAAAGTGACATTTCTAATATAGACTTTGTTGTGTCAGTGGAAGATGACTTTGAGCAAAATAATTCTTCGGATGAAGAACTATAACGTGCAACACAAAACTTTGAAAAAGCGCAAGAACACCTTCCTGAAAAGATCTTAAATAAAGAATCTGAGTCCCGATTCGGCACACCTCTAACTGTTGAGGAAATCACCAATTTGGAAAGGTTGGCTAAAAATAAACATACGGAAAAGAAAAGTCACTGGGCTGCACGGGTTTTGATGCATGGTATCAGGAAAGGAAAGGTGTCGGTGGTGGTCTGGGACGGTGTCTCCTGAATCTCAGTGATGACGATTTATGTCGACATCTAGTTTCCTTTATAACGGAAGTCAAGAATCAGAAAGGGGAGGAGTATCATGGGAACACCATCAATGAAATTCTTAGCTCAATTCAGTACTTCCTAAGACAAAACGGCAAAGACATAAACATTTTTAGTGATTTTGAATTTGCTGCTGTTCGCTGAATTTTGGATGCAAAAATGAAAGCCCTTGCGCGAAGAGGCATTGGGATTCAGAAGCGGAAGGCTGATGTTTTGACGCGTAGCCAGGAGGAAATACTATGGGAAATGGGGATCCTTGGAGAAGACACGCCGCAAAAACTGTTAGACACAGTATTCTACCTAAATGGCATCTGTTTTTGTGTAAGGGGTGGTGCTGAACACCATGAATTATCGGTAGGAGAATTTGGTAATTTTGAAATTGTTATGAAGAATGGTGCCAAGCATTTGAGGTATTTAGAAGGTGTGACTAAGACAAACAACGGTGGATTAAAGCACAAGAATATCCCTAGAAGGTATGTCACAGTTGGACCCAATACAGAAAATCCTCTCAGATGTCCAGTCCGGCTTCACGAGAAGTACATGTCACTCAGGTAACTATTACATTAGACTAAGTCAAACACTTTGTGTATGTGGAAATATGCTGACTCTAAAAACATGAATATTTTTAAATTATGGATCGATAATTCATTCTTGAAAATTAAAAAATATATATCATATTTGTTATTGCAACCCTTCTTTAAAGGGAATAGGGTCATGGTGGCCCATTCGTCTAATACTGCGCCATGTGCTGTGCAGAGTTGCGTCCCTTAGGCACGCAAGTAACCGTTGATCGTGGGTTCGATCCCGTATCGCTGTGATTATGGTTCTGAGTATGTCAGCAGCATACCTGTGCTCGTGGGCTCCACCTAAGTGACAAACGTGAAAGACTTGTATCACTTCGGGCGTTTTGCCATCATTAAGCTGACAAATGCGGTGTTAAATACAACTTACGTGCTCGCTCGCTCACTCACTCACTCACTCACTCACTCAAAAAGACTAAAGGTTTTTCAAAATAAGATGGTGAGCAAAAATGCTGCTGGTACTGTTACATAGAATAATATGTTAAGCCATATGTACCTAAATGTTTTTCGTTTGACACAGACCAGCAAATTGTAGCCCATTCTACCTACGACCCCTCAAGTACCAGAGACCGGATGTGTGGTATTGCGCCTCACCCATTGGCAGGCAGACGCTAGGAGGGACCGTGCGAAGACTCTGTGGAGCTGCGGGATTTGAGGGCTACTATACTAATCATTCATTACGAGCAACCACAGCAACCCGGTTGTATGAGAGCGGGCTTGATGAGCAGCTAATTGCCGAGCGGACGGGTCACAGGTCATCTGCTATCCGAGGGTGAGTGGGTGTTTTGAAAATGTTACAACAAACCCAAACAAGATAAAGACAGTTGCACCGCATTCTCTAGTTATTTACCTCTGATAAAAGCTCAGGTTGAAATCATAAATATACAATACAGAAAACACTGTAATAGCTTATACGTGACTGCTAGTGTGTCCTTCACAATGATCGCTGTTAATGTAAGATAATAATGTCAGAGGCTTAATCTGGGTTTTCCCTAAACAATATTTAGGACAGCATTCGTTTCAGGGTGTGATGACGTCATCTATCAATGGCAGGCGTCATAGTATTTCCGCTGACATCATGCCAGTTACAACGTATCAACAGTCCAGCCTCGCTGTCATTATACTTAAACAAAATAAATGTGAAATAGTTACAATCTAGTTACTTTGGGAGGATAATTAAACGCTAAAGAATAGTCAGGAGGATGTTTAACAAGGACGAATATACTTCACGCACCCATGGATTAAACGTTTATCGAATGAATGTTTCAGATACAAGCGAACAAGCGAGGAAATGCTGCAGGTTGTCGACGATGTCGTGCAGGGTAAAGTGTCTAATAATGTAGACACCCGTCCTCTCGCACCGAAATTCTTTGTGGCGTCCTCGTCACCATCGACGTCCGTGACGGCAAAACGTTTCCAAACGCTTCCCAACATCGGAGCCGTCTCCACAGCCGGTGGATCAGCGGAAAGCACCGTTGCCAACGTCTCGAATGCTCCCATTAGCTTCACGGTGGAAAGAAGCGGAGCTAAAGTCACATTCCAAATGTAAACATCTGGTTGGAGTGACTGAATAGAATAAAGACTGAAATAACATCGTATATAGCTGGCATGACCACCCAAGATCGACAGGACTGGATATTATTTGTAAATTGTTATGACATGCCGTTTGCTTCCCAGTTTAATTCCCCAAAAGGATTATCTTATCTCAGCTTATATCTCTATCCCCCAGCCCGACCCCAACCACCGTCTGCGACGCCCGTCTTGGTTTCGCTTTTGAGATTGAGACGACCCCTTCTCCTTGTTACTTTTTATAGTGATAGTGAGACTCCATGGTAGCTACATCCTTCCTAGTTTCAGTATTTAAGTTATAATTTTTTACTCCAGCTATCGTTTAAAATGAAGTTGAATTTCAAAATGGACATTTAAAAATTGTCCTTTGTAATACAATATCATCGCACACTAATTTGCATAAAGCAATGCTATGTTCCAAATAAGTCGTTTTGGACTAAAAAAACCCCGCATTGCTCATTTCTGCACTAATCTCTCCTCAGTAAAGTCCCTTTTTACGTTCCCTATCTCCCTACCACTGAGACTGTAGTTAGACCGAACTTAGTTTAACAGATATTTCACACTTTCACATATTAAGTACATAAATTGTAGATATCAATGCGAAGAAAACAGATTTTTAAACTTATCCTATCTCTTCTTCTACGACCATGTGTAGGCTTAGTTGAGTCAAAACTTCCTGACCACCACCTCTGACCACCTGACCTCTGCCCCACTCCGATAGCAGTACCTGTCAATCATCTCAATAAGCGTGCAGATCGCTCAGATGATCACGTGACGTTCTGTGCCTGTCATTCTCTTTCTTGTGGCTATGTCGTGTGGACGTGTGCTGTTTCTTAGTGAGATTTTGACTGTGTGTTCAATATGGGTAAATCTCGTCGCAGTGCTTCCAATAAACGCAAACATTGCGACATTTTCTGCTGCGGACCAACATGCGTTGTGTGTGGATTGTTTGGGACGTTACGACTGGTCGCACCGTTGTACTTTTTGTGCTAAAGTTGATGATGATGCTTTTTCAGAATATCGCCGGGCTGCCTCCTGACGTTTGGCTGACAGGGATCGCCGTAAACCCTCGGAGGATCCGTCCTCATCTTCACGTTCGAGATCTGAACGTCGTACAAAGACACCTGTTCGCCAGTCTAAGTTCCCGTCTCCGAATGAAGAATTTCTTGATGATGCTTCTGATTCTTATCTGAGTGAGATCTCCGGCGTTTATTTCGTCCGCAAACGTCCAGTCCTATTGTAATCCAAGATCGTTCGCCGCCTAGAGTTGTGGTTTTAACTACTTCTTCTGGCCAGTCTTGTCCGTCTACCCTGGTGACGATTTCTCAGAACCCCGGTGATCCTACGACGATTGTTTCCAGTGTGGCGCTTGGATTGATGGCTAGCATTCACTCTCAAGCGGCGATTACGTTCTGTTCGGCGCTTTCCAGCACGGTGATTGGCTCTACGCTTTCTACCCATGCGCCGCCTGTTTCCAGTTCGGCGCTTTGTCCCGGCTCGGCGCTCTCATACCCTCCTGTGATGTCTACAAGTATGGCGATGATTTCCAGTGCATTGCTTTCTACATCTGACTCGTATGCTGTCCCTCCTGTCTGTGACCGCCTCCGTGGTGTAGTGGTTAGCGCGTCTGCTGAAGAGCGGAAGGTCGCAGGTTCGATCCCGGACCGCGTCATACCAAAAGACATTAAAATATGGTACTTGTTGGTCTCTGCCTGGCGCTCGGCATTAATGGGTACAACAAGGACAGGTCGGCTCGGAGCCAGTATAATGAGTCTGAGTGGGGTATTCATGCTTCACTGCGACATGGAATCTCAGTGGGCTAGCACTATAAAACCAGCTTAAGTCTGGGCTAGTACAAGCAGCCGCACATACACATACACACGCATGCACGTCGTCATATGAGTGAAATATTCTCAAGCACGATGTTAAACCCAATTTCATCTCACCTCACCCTCCTGTCTATGGACCACCGCCTAATTCTAGTGCGCCGCTTACCTCCGGGGCGCCGCTTGCTTTCAGTGCGCCGCTTGCTCCCGGTTCAGCGCTTACTGTTGGAGCGCCGCTTACTTCCAATGCACCGCATGCTCCCGGTTTGTTGCCTACTGTCGGAGCGCCGCTCGCTTCCAATGCGCCACTTGATCCCGGTTCGGTATTAACTGTCGGAGCGCTGCTTGCTTCCAATGCGCCGTTTGGTCCTGGTTCAGCGCTTACGGTCAGAGCGTCGCTTGCCTCTAGTGCGCCGCTTGCTCCTGGTTCGGCGCTTACTTTCTGTGCGCCATACGTTGTTCCCAGTGCACTGCTTGTTCCCAGTGAGGTGCTTACTTCCAGTGTACCACATTCTTCCAGTGTGCCGCTTTCTCTTGGATCAACTTTGCCGCCTTTGCCAGGTCATCCATCCATGCCAATCTCTGGATCATCTTTGCCTCCTACCTCGGGGACTATGTCTATCACCTCGACCAGGCCTATTTTGCCAGTTTCTTGGGATTCGTCGCCTGAGGGTTCTGCATCTCAACCTCTTGATTTTGATGGCTCGTTCAAGTTGTGGCCTCAGCTTTACGTCAGCAAGCCGCAGTACCATCCCCGACTGTTCAGCCAGCTGGCCCTCCAACCGTTCCACTTCATTCCGTGGATGAAGCTCCTCAATCGGTTATGCCCTCTCCTGCTTCAGATGGCACTTCGACTTCAGATGTCAGCATTGATGCGGTCGACACACCTCAGTTCCTGGTTTGGATTGCTGATAACCTTCGACTGTCTCGTAGCAGTTCACCTTCGGACTTGTTGACTAGCTTTAATACAAAACCGGGTGATTTCGGTTCTATCACTTTCCCACCTCGTCCCTGCATTACTCAACTGGCGGCTTCCCTTGATGAGGCATTTAACAACTTAAGGAAAGTCAAGGATGGGTTTGCGGCACCCCGCTTTAACTTGGCGTCTTCCCATGTTCATCGGTTTTCTACGTTGATTGTTTCTCCTTCTGTGGATGATGACATTGCGCTTTTGGGATATAAACAGAGAGCCTATTCTCCCTTTCTGGTTGAGGACCATGAGTTCTCGCACTTGGATGGTGCCATTTGGAAGGTTTTAGCTCCCCTCAACATGGTTTTGACAGCGACTGAAGCTGTGGCTATGTCTGTGTCGCATGCAGCTTCCCCTCAACAGGCGTTCCAACCGTCAGCGCCGGTCGTTCACTTCTTCTAGACCAGCTTCCGCTTCCGATCAGTCCTCCACTCAGAAGACCGAGAAGCAGTGATTTGCAGACATCAGAGCCTATCAAGGCTTCCCCAGAGGCGGAAGACTTGGAATTATGCCCTCAATTGGACCATCTTGGACGACCCTTACGTTCTCTCCACTCTGTCCAAGGGGTTTCAACTTCCGGTCATCGGCAACCCTCCTCTCACATTATTTGCAGAGCACAGGACGTATCCTGCTCGTCAAACGGCTGTGCTGCGATCCACCATAGCTACTCTACTTAAGAAACTTGTGATCGAATCCCTGGGCCCGACTCCTGCCGACCTTGGGTTTTACTCTCCAATATTTTTGGTTCCGAAGAAGGATTCCGACAAATTGAGACTCATCTTCAACATGAAGGTCTTCAATGAGATGTTCCTCCAACCAGCACCTCGTTTCCGTATGGTGTCGGTGGCTCTACTCAAGACTATCATCAAACTGGGGGATTACATGGTCAGCCTCGACCTACAGGATGCTTACCTTCACATCCTGATCTTCCCGGACCATCGCAAGTTTCTTCGTTTCGTCTTCGAGGGCACCAACTATCAGTGGCGTGTTCTTCGGCCCCGTGGCTGTTTACACGTGTAACGAAACCCATCACCAGCTTCCTCCATCACAAGGGGAAACTTTTCGAAACATACATCGACAACTGTATCTAGGCTTAGACCGACCGCGCACTCCTCCTACGTCACATGGGGTTAACGATGCAGCTGCTTCACCAGTGAGGCTGCCTTGTCAACATGGAGAAGTCGGACTAGTCCCTTTTAGTCTGCAGTTTATTGGGGCGGTGTTCAACACAGAGCTCAACAGACTGTTTGTTTGTGCCGAGGGACCGTTTCTACAAGATCCGGCGGTTAATTCCCCTTGCGTTGTCTCAACCCAGGACTCTTCGTCCATGGCAGGAGCTCCTGGGTCTCTTGACGTCGGCCCAGGCGTTGACCCTCAGGGGTCAACTTCAGCTTCGACCTTTGCAGTTATTCCTGGCTCCACACATCCTGCTTTCACTGATCATGTTACCTCCCGCGCTCCTATGGTGGATGGAAGAGTCGAACATTTTCGGCGGAGTCTGCTTAAGGCCGTTCATCCCGACTCACCACCTGTACGTGGACGCATCTCTACACGGTAGGGGGGCTCACCTTCTCGATCAGCAAGTGGCAGGGAGGTGGTTTCTCGCAGATCGCGCTTACCACATCAACATTCTAGAGCTCAGGGCGGTGATTCTTTAGATCACTCACTGGCAAGAAATTCTACGATCGATCATGGTCCGGTTGGACAATGCAGCAGTAGTGTGGCAGTTCAACCGGATGGGGTCAACAGGGTCTCCTCAACTCCTGCAGTGGACACAACGGTTCTTCCAGTTGGTGGACACTCTCAACATCTCCGCTCGAGCCAACCATATTCCAGGAGTGAAGAACGTGATTGCAGATTCTCTGTCCCGTCCGATTCATCCCTCCCTGACAGAGTGGAAACTACATCCACAGGTGTTCCAGACCATCTGCCTTCTGCTGACGACTCCGACAGTGGATTTGTTCGCCACCCGTTTCAACCACCTCTGTTCGTGTCTCCGATCCGGACCCTCTTGCCTGGGGTCACGACGCTCTAGCCATTCCTTGGGACGTCCTAAACGCGTACGGGTTTCCACCAGTGGCCCAAATTACCACGCTTACTACTGAAACTGCACACACCTCAGCGGATGACACTGCTTTTGGTCGCGCCCTTTTGGCCGGCCAGCTTGTAGATCTACAAGAACTGGTCGATCCAGATCCTGTACCATTTCCGGAATGCGTCAATCTTCTGG